GTGGAACGGGAGATTCACATCATGGATGTGCAGCCGACAAATCTGCGGCAACTGTGTGATGCCACCATGTCAATATGGACCAAAATCTCTGAGGAATGCTTCCAGCACCTTGTTGAATCTATGCCACGAAGAATTGAGGCAGTTCTGAAGGCAAAAGGGGATCCAACCCGTTACTAGCGTGGTGTACCTAATAAAGTGGCCGGTGAGTGTATATAGGCGTTGGAAAACTTATTAGATTACCAAAAAGTCAAATCTGTAAGAACTGGTTCAAAAACACAGCAGAACTGTAGACTGGATAAATCTGTTGGTTTTAACATGTTCATAAAATGGCCAACACAGATTAACTGAATTGTTCAGCTATAAAATGTCCATTTAGGCTTCTGTACAGTGCTAATTTCACAGTTTTCACTTTGTTTACATGATTTAAGACCCCTAAAAGTGGTGGCACCAGGTGAGCAGGATATGACCTCACATGATCACGTGACGGTGTGATGTGACTGTTCACGTCTGTAGGTACAATTCACAAATTGTAAGAAAGTGAACAAGAGTTTGGTGATAAATGATGGAGAAACTAAACTGACAACAAAGAGTTTAGGGGATGGTTTGCTGCTGGATGCACACTGCCTCACAGATAGAAGAATCTGGGGTAACCCTTAATTTGCCACGTAGAAAGGAGAAAGGGACTCGGGGGAGGAAAACATTTCCCAGGACATTTTGTGCTTTGAGAACGAGGGAGGCCATGAGGGAGGGAGGGGGGTATTGTACCAGAATTCCCTAAACGACCAACACTCAGCACCAAGCTGCACACTCTAACACTCATACCATTCCTTTCTATAAATAGCAAAAGCTTTGTCCACATCTTTCATATGGCTGTCAAATTAGATCCAAACCCTCTTCTATCTCCGGGGACGTGGGAGTCTGTACATTGCATGTAAACATAATGCTGTATGCTATGGATTTAAGATTTTTTGACCTAAGGCTGTCTTTACTGCAGCCTCTAAAACCTCCCTCTGTGTGTTTTGTCACTTCATGCCAGAACACAGTTAATGAAGGATTGCACAATCCAGCAAAGTGACCGGGTACAACTCGCTTTGCTCCTTTTCATGCAGACAACCTCGGTTCAAAACAGTTGGGATGTTGTGTAAAATGCTAATAAAAACAGAACTCAAAGATTTGCACATCTCATAAATCTTTTTTATTTTTTGGGTGGGGGGTGCGGGGGTGGGATTTTCAGGCACTTTGTTTAACCCCGGATTTATACTACATGCGTCTCCGCTCCGCTGCGCTGCTTGATTKCAAAATAAAATCCACGTGTATCGTGTGTACACATATGCTTCATGCTACGTTTCCATCTGCTTCCCAAACAGAACAATACATTCTGACAGCATTTGTGTGGAAATATATACATATATTGATTAATATAGCTGCAATTTCGACATTATTCCGACAAATTATTCCACCTAATAGGGCCTTATTTTGTAAATACGGATGTTGTGCTCCTTTCTCTTCCTGTTGGTGCGACGTAATCTTTAAAATTTGACTCCGGCGCAGCTCCTGCGTCTGGCAAAAATAGGATCTGTTCTAATTTTGCCACTCACCGCYGCTCACCACCACCGTGCACAGCCAGTGTAAACACTCTCATTGATTATAATGGGTGTGTTTTTGCTGCGGAGGTCGGACGGGAGCGGAACGCATGTAATGTAAATTGGGGGTAATTCTATACCGCAGTCAAATARCTATGTTACTTTCACTTGTTATGAAAATGCTGTAAATATGTATCAAAAATAAGTGTGACTTCGCATCACAGCCTTGAAATAGGCCACTGTCTCATTAAGATTCTCCTTCCGTTTCTGACACTCCCATTTCAGCATGTCTTCACAACAATGCTTCAGGCAGTTTAGAACCTTTTGTAGATTTTCTGGATTTTGTAGTACTTTCTGGATCCCACGTGGGACCCACAAAGTACTGTTTCTGAATAACCGAAGTGAGTACAGAGCGTCTTACAAGATGTTTCAGCTTGGCAATATTTCTTCCAGTCATCCTCTCGTACACATTTACATCAATGTTAAGCTATGTTTTGCAATGAAATCATGAACATCCAACATTTTTAAGATACGTTTTGCAGTGAAATCATATTAATTTGTAATGAAACATTTCTCCTGCTGTTAGTCTGGTGAAGCTGTGAAGGGGAGGGTGCTGTGTGGGGCAGGAGCTCGGCAGCAGACCGCGCTCCAGGGAGGAGCTAGGTACAAATAGAATTGGGCCATGTTGTTCTGAAATTGCCCTATCTGAATGATTTATATTTCTGTGTGTTTTAAAAAAATGCGATGGAAGATGCCTCGTGACTCACTTGTAGTGACTTCTTTGATCATTTCAGCTGACGCGTGACATCCGCTGACTATGTGCCGGGTCCACAGGGACAGGTCCTTGGTGRTCTCGGCCCGGAAAAGGTGGGTTTCGATGCCGAGGCGCGTGCCGGTGCGAGTAGCGAAGAACAGCTCCGTGCCAGAGCAAGGGGATCCCCGGTCAGGACCAGAGTGGACCAGACTGCATTAAAGCAAAATCATTAAGAAAAGCACAAAACATTCATTAATATTACACACAAAATAACTCATATACTGCTTGATCAAATTTTTATAATTTTAAAAGAATAGTATGACTGAAACAACCCAATTTCAACTCATTGATACAAGTTTCTCTTCACAAGGTGTGTATTTAGGGGACTCACCGTGTTGCTAAAAGTGGAAAGGTGTGTGTGGGGCTCTGCCAGGTCTCCCTGCATCGGGGCAAACTGCTGTACAACAACAGGTCTTTCTCCGTCACCACCACCAGCACTGGCTTCCAACACTGTTTCTCACTCTCCGTCTGAAACACGAAGAGATGAACAATAACATGGCAAAAGCTACTATCATCCACCAATCTGATGAGCAAAGAAGGGCTGTGTAATTCATGGAAACGTGAAAAAAAATCATTTTAAAATTGAATGTGCTCAGAACGCTGTCTTTTTTCTTTTCTTTTTTTGTTTGTTACTGCTGATTAAAATGCTAACCTTATTATGTAATACATCAGTTCAATAATAGCTTTTACCATCATTTATTTGGGAAAGTAATTTATAAATTTCAAGTATGTTCACTCATTCAATAAAACGTTAGAACCTCAGAAGTAATGGTTTGATCTGGATGTAATTAGGTTCACATGCAGACCAGCGATGAGTGTGTACATATGGGCTCCAAAGGGTATAGGTGGTGGCTTAACGACCAAAGTGTTATCAGGCAGTTGCCCGAACATCCAAAAGTCAGTTAAAACAGTACCTGAAGGTCACCAGAGATAAAAGGATGCCTTAGAGACACATTAGACAGTAGTAGCAGCAGTTGACAGAGTTTCAAATGATGAATCTCTCTTTTTTGCAATTAGTACCATTAGTGCCATGTGATGACAGATTTTTGTATGACACTTTTGTACACTATCACTTTCAGGCACGCATGTGAGCCCAATGGTGGAAGGTGGCGTGGAGCAGCTAACGCTATCCCTACAAACTTTTTGAATTACTTGCATAAACTGGAGTATGAGGAAAGACAGAAAATGCAGACTAAGGACATATCATCCAAAYGCAAGTGCAACTGTCATCTATTAAACTGTCATATTAATTGTTAACAGCTTAACGCCACAATTAATCGTGATAAATTTATATGTCAGAATTGTATAACCCTATAACTCATACCTGTGTTACTCCTGACGTCATAGCGTGGAACGACATAAGGTCTGAATTCAGGTCACTTCTGGTAGTGGTTCATGGGACCCTGATGGCACAACGCTACATCAGTTAAAACTGGTTTTTGCGGTAAGTCACATATCTTGACAAAAAGCTTCTGTCCATTATCTCCACTGACACTCGGCCCTGTACATAGCCTCCAGTCAGAACTGTCCTGCAGACCTCAGTGTGATTGGTGGGTGTGTTTGTTTATGCAGAACAATGCCGTGGAGCAGCACGTCCCTCAGCATGACATTTTTTTTAAATGATCCACTGCCAGTTGTTAAATTAGCAAGATGGACAGCTTCGAAGAGCAGCTCATCTGGTCCTATTGAGACGGCCCGAATGTACAACTGATATTCATGCCTTCTTTCCATCTCCGCAGTTGACAAGCGTAAAAAAACGTTTTTGATCCTCTGTCTCCTCACCCAACAAAACTTTTTGCAAAAGCTACAATATATCCAAAACTCAGCTTCCCGCCTTCCCGCTCCCAGGACCACATCACTCCTGTACTTAAAAGTCTCCACTGGTTTCCTGTTCAATACCATATACAAAAGAAAATACTCCTCATCGCATACAAAGCCTTCAAWAATCTTGCAGCCCCTTATCTCACTGACCTCCTTCACCATTATTCTCCTACTCACCACCTCCATTCCTCTGACTCCAACCTCCTGATCAGAACCAAGCACCATATCCTGGGGGTTCGAGCATTTTTCACTGCTGCCCCATCCGTTTGAAACACTCTTTCTCCAAATATCAGGAACTGACTCTTTACCTTTCTTCAGATCGCTACTCAAAACCCACCTATTCAACCTGGCCTACCCACCATAATCCCCTTACCAATTTTTCAATTTTAAATTTTTCCCCATTTTCAATCTTGGTATCAGTGTTGTTGTTTACGTATATGCTTATCCATGTGCTGTGCTACATTAAGAGTGCTGTGAGAGGGCAGATGGAGAAATCATAATTTATCCCCTGCATCATATGTGCCAGAATGTTCATGTCTGAAACGATGTAATCACTGATCCGCTGTCTCACGTCTTCGTCTGTCTGTCTGTTTTCTTCCTCTTTTCTGGGGTTGAGGCAGGGGCAGCAGCCTAAGCAGAGAAACCCAGACTTCCCTCTCCCCAGCCACTTGGACCAGCTCCTCTGGGGGAATCCCAAGGCATTCCTAAGCCAGCCAAGAAACATAGTCCCCCCAGCATGTCCTGGGTCTTCCTCTGGGTCTCCTCCCAGTGGGACGTGTCCGGAACACCTCACCAGGGAGGCATCCTAACCAGATGCCCGAGCCACCTCAACTGGCTCCTCTCGATGTGGAGGAGCAGTGGCTCTACTCTGAGTCCCTCCTGGATGACTGAGCTTCTCACCCTATCTCTAAGGGAGAGCCCAGACACCCTGTGGAGGAAACTCATTTCGGCCGCATGTATCCACGATCTCATTCTTTCGGTCACTAACCAAAGCTCGTGACCATAGATCTCACATCTCACGTCTTGTGGAAGTATAAACCAGCCTTTACTTCTTGAACGTCTTCCCCTGGTATAGTCCATCAACAAGGCAACACTTGTCCACACTTGGCACATGTCTATGGACTGTCTGCATCCTATGGCCAGCAAGATCACCAATCTTTCCCAAATCCAACATCATATGTTAACCCAGCATCAGTTTGACGGATCTTGAAGGTCTCTTACAGTAACTGTGGGTCGACTTGCTGCAGGAGCGAGTAGAACAGCTTCGTTTTTTGCACCAGATCACTTTTTGTATCCATGCTTGAGGAGGTTCCACCTACTTCTGACGTGGAACTATCAGTTTACCCATATTGCCAACTTCAGTATCTGTTTGATGTGATCATTGCTGCAATCCAGTCACATGATGCTTCACACTCCTTTTATTTCCACCACTTTGTCTTTTTCTTGTCAGGGAGTGGATTTCATTCCAGTTCACAGCAGAAATTTTCTTTTTACCATTTGCAACTCAAAATTGGAGGACAGTCTTGCCGAGAACACTTGATAGGTGCCAGACAAGTGAATAATTAAAACAGAACAAATAATTACTCACAACTGAAAGCAATGTTGAGACATTAACTGAGCAGTTTCTCATGGCAGGACACCCATTTTGAAGTTGATTACTTTCCTGCTTCACAATGTGAAGGACATGCGCCCCTTTTTATTTTTCACGAACCACTTAGATCAGAGAGAGGACTGGTGTATGTGTTTGTGTGTGTGTTTATAGAGTGTAAAATATGTTTGCTCCCCCTTCAAAATGTGCTAATATCCACTACTGTGTATGCAACAGGGAATGAGCTATAAATGAGTGTAACTGGATTCAGACACAGGTACACTTATGCATCTGCTTTTCCGTGCCCCCTCACTCACTCATCTGCACAAATGTCTCACTTAAAAAACACACACACACATAAAAATGCACACACACAAGCTCATTTCATATGTGTTTTTTGTGACAATATTCTCATTATAAGAGCTTATCTGCAGTCGAGCCGTGGATTCCTAAGCTGGTCTTTGAAGTTCTACCTCAACCAATCAGGATTCGAGATCCAGAAGGTCGAGGGTCAGCTTTTTAACATAACGAGACTATGTTGCTAAGTAACAGCATTGTACGGCATTTTGAGGATCAAATATTGGCAAATTCACCAGAACTAAATTAGGTAGTTATAGATGTGTGTGTGTGTGTTTGCTAGCCCAGGTCTAATGTATATAAAAGAGTGAAGTGTTTGCTGTGTCTGGGCCTGCATCTGTGTAATTCAGATATGTTTGGCACGCATGTTTAAAGCAGTGGAGGATGATGCCCAAATATGCATGCAACCACAAATATAAGTGCACATAGACAAGCATGGATTAGTTTCTATTTTTATGAAATACTGAAACATATTTCTGACTCCATTTTCTACACGCTCTCTTTACACACACACCATTAACTGAAGCCTGCCTGACATATACACACAGGAAACTCATGAACTGGTAGATTTCTGGTGATGATCGGTGGCTTTAACAAACTGTGACAACAGTTTAACAAACAAATGTGACCCGACACTGCATTTTATGTGGCCCGCAAGARCTTCAAGGATGTATTAGGGTCTTAAAATAAGCTTATGCTGCTATAAAGCCAGCATTGACTAATAACTACATCTCCCATAATGCATGCTGATTATTTTACCCATAAACTGATGGTATCCCAACACTAGGTGGAGGTGCACAGGGTTCAAAAGAAGCCAGTACTCTGGGAAATTCGCCATGTAAAATCTCCATTTTACTGCATTTAAACAGTTGTACTGGGAAGTGGGAATTGTAAGTGGGAAATTCCCACAACGCCCCTCTAGTTCAGAATTCAAGACAGCAGCTTCTTACCACACCTCAACAACGAGTGAAACTCTTCTTTTACTTTTTAATAGGTTTTCTGGATGATTTATTTCACATTTAGTCAGTTGTACATGTAGTACTTTTCAGTGAGGACATGTTAAAACACAGTTTCTATGCAGGAAATACCACATAGAGCTCAGTTATTGTTCGTCAGCGGTGCTCAGCCGGAGCAACAAGATGTGGAACGTGACATTTTGTGTCGTCAGATTTAAACACAAAGCGTTAAAGGTAATTGAAACTGGCCCTTTGAGGGCCACCATAATGCTTATTTTGACCCTCGGTAAAAATGAGTTTGACACCCCTGATCTAAGTGCATATACATAGACAACACAGACAATTACACACGTGGAAATCAACTCAGGAGACCACTAAAGTCACCAAAATGATTATAAAAACTAAAACGTTGTTGTTAAGCAAAAAACTTTGTTCTCCAAAAAATGCAGCTTTAAAAAAATATATAAAATATCTTTCTCATTCACAACACACTCTGAATGTGACGTCTCATTATATCACGCCTATGGTAGATACACATTATTTCAAGGAATGCTGCAGCTTTAATTTATAAATGCGTGGATTTTTTTTTTTTTTTTGTATGTAGAAAAAAAAACATTACTTAGGCAAATGCCGTCCCTATTTAGGGAGAAGCAGCTCTTTTATAGCATTTAGTTTGATACTAATGGAGTTACATTCATAAAACAGCAGACAGAGGTGAAAGGTGACCAATAAAGTTGATTTATGCAGAATCATAAAAAATGACGCATAATTGAGAGACAAGGTTTTTGCCCGACGGCGATGAAATGCAATCAAACACAATATGCTGCGCAGGTAATTCCAAGGCAACAAAACCTAAGCCTGGAAATATGTAGATTTATTTGCTTTCGCTGCTGTGGACATATAAATAAAACAGAKTCCACTCAAAATGAGAGAAACCTGCAAGCCGTAGATCCACTTCATTCTTCACCAAAACTTAGAGTCACAGCAACTCTAAAACAAGCTTCCCTCAATGCATTTTTTCTGAAAACTGAATTTGTTCCCAAAATGAAAACAAAACCAAAACTGTAAAAATGCAGCAATTTTTTTCTCTCCCCTGCTCACGCACAAACAAACACACTCCTACCTTCCCTGCCAGCCATCCCAGGTGTCGGATCTCTTTGCTGCCAGCAACCCCTGTCCTGGATGTATTCTGGATGACCTCCGCCAGTGCCCGCTGTGGTGGGGTGATACATTTTAAGGCTGGGTGATAACTTAAACACGCATAAACGTTAAAAAAACTATATAGTGGCTACTGACATATCTAACAGTACTCTGAAGATAAGAGGTTCCTGTAAAAAGCAAGTCACATTAAAAGGCAGACCTGTGCCAGCGTGGATGTGACGGAGTGCAGGGAGGAGAACCAGGACAGGGCAGATGGTTGGTCCGGGCACCGGAGCACAATGGTGTGCCTGGCGTCGGGACTGTGCAGCTCCAGTTGTCTGCAGGGAGAGATAAGAAAAGTTCGAAAAAAAGCTTTAACCTTTTTGTTTCCACTGAGGAGTTTCAGAAACTAAAAAAAACAAACAACAAAAAATCTGTGCCAAATTATTTTGCAACTCTAATCAGGCAGCACCAAATTGGTTTCAAATCACAGCTTTAGAAACCAAATGTTACCCGATTAGGTTTCAGCTTCAACAGATGCTCCACTTGTCCATTCCACTTCATAACAAGCATTCAGTCAAATCAACAATAAAGGGCCTTGAAATTTGAGTTAATTTATGTAAAGTGAAAAAAAAATTGAAATTGGACAGCTCATGCATTCTGTGTGGGCCTGATAATACACACACGTTCTTTTTTTTTCTCCCAGTAAATTTCCATAAATAATCTGCTTCCATCATATGGGAGCGTTTCTGGACTTGAGAGGAAAAGCATACGTTTCTCCATCTCCCTGAACGTTGCTTTGATTGTGTGCTGACTGAATATGAATTTTAAAAAGGCACACGTGGCTGCCGACAATGCACAAAGCAGTGAACTGTTACTTTACACTGCAGCGTGAAGTAGTCCAATCTGCAACAAAAAAAAGCTGGAGAAAAGGTGGGCTGCAGAATGCGAAGAGAGGAGAGGAAAAAAATAATTTCAGACAAAGAATGCAAATTCTTTTTTTTTACAGAAACAAATATTCATTATTCCTGAGTTTGAGATTTAGGTGAGAAATGGTAAATGTGTGCTGTCATAATGAGATCTTATTATCGAAAGCTGAAAAATGGTAACTCTAAAGGGTTTATTTTAAATTGTACAAAACATTAAAAAATACAATAAATTTACAATAAAACAAATGACTCAACTAAAACAATTGCACTTCTGCAACTTGAACATAATGGGGTCTATCATGGTCTTAAATGCTCTGTTTAAGCTCATCTGATTGCAAACTATTCCATGAAGTTGGAGCAGAAAAACTGAAAGTTTTCTTCCCCGTTTCTGTTCAGACACGAGGAACATTAAAATTTAAAGTGTCTTGAGAGCGGAGGCTGTAGGTCCTGTTATTTAAAGTTAACAAAGATGAAAGATAAGGTGCTGTCAACGTAAGAATAACCTTGTAAATTAAAACATCCCAAAGGCCAAGCCGGCGGACATGCAGAGATGGCCATTACCTTAGCATAGAAGATACATTTGTACAAAGCACCTCCCACTGCTCATCTGTTGAGCTTGTAATCCTAACTACTTCTCAGTTCAGTCCTTTTTGAAAAAAAAATGCCTTCATCGAGCAAATTTATTTTTGGATGCCAAAGAAAATACCCTCATGTTGTAAATGGCGTGAAGCATTTTGAAAACATGCTGAAGTGGGAGTGTCAGAAATGGTAGGAGGTTCTAAAAGACACTGAAGCCATTTTCAAGGTGACAGGCTATGATGCAAAGTCAAATTTATTTTGATGTATGCACCATCGTCGCAACCGAAGGTAACAGTTACAAGATCGTGGTATAGAAGGAAACCATGTGCCTGGAAACTGCATAATACCTCCCTCTCCCTTTGAATGAGTTGATTCCAAAAGCTAATCAGTTAGATTAGCTACGTGCACWATCAGTAATTACTTCAAGAGTTTCAATAAAATCCATCCAGTGGAGTTTGAGATATTTTGTCAACAGTTCGACATAGTTAACACAAACGTGTTACACAAAGGTCTTAGCACTTATTTTAAGAACTTGGTCTCTTTAGTATCTTCATTTCTATCAGTACAAACACTTAATATTTTTCTAAATAGGTTTTCAGGATAACGATGTGAGGGGGTAAACATTACGCCGGATTAATACACATAAGGAATATAAATCAAGTCCAGTTTATTGGTCTTTATTCCAAAGTAAACCCCCTCTTTTCACTTCTTTTGCGCCGTCTTTTCATCAGGTCTTTTCATCGCTGCATGTGTTCACATCCCTCTCTTCTGCATTTCCTCTCAGGCTTAAACACGGTTTAAACAACATCTGGCGAAATGAAAAGAAATCCCTCCAAGGGATGCAACACAGCAGCCAGTCTGGAGAARAAGACGAGCCAGATTATTCTGTCACTTAACATAAAGCCCCCCCCAAACAATTTCATCCCTGAAATCCAAATAAGAAAAGCAGAGAGGGAGTTCTTACAGGCTCACTCTGCAATTTTTACCTTTTTTTTTCTTCTTATCATCTGGGGACAAACAGAGTTTGAGAAACAGCCAACTTTCTAGTAGAAATGAGCACCTTTTTCATGAAACAGCACAGAAAATGATGGTTCTGTGTGGGCAACTCTCAATTTAAATGAGCATTTACCGTCCGAGGGGAATTCGTCCTGGCTGTGAGCAGAAAAGAAAAGAACTTATTACAAAAACTGCTAGTCGAGGTAAATGTGGCCAAAGTCTGAATCTGTGTGTGGATCCACTATAAAGCTTTATGAATCTACAAAACAGTGTGTTATCTGCATACAGCAAAACCTCTCAGCATCTGTCGATGAGTTACTGACCTCAACTCCTCGTATAACTCACCAATAAAACCAAAGTTATGGGTGACAAAGTCAATGTTCAACCCTGAAATGCTCTTCAGTGGTTTCACGCTTCCACATAGTTTAACTGAAAGTCAAACCTTTATTTCAAGTGTGATTTTGTCCATCAGGGTGAGACTTTGTGCTCAATATTTAAACACACACCCAGCTGACATTGTCCTCAAGGCCAAAGATAATTTAGTGGCCAAAAAAAAAAAAAACTGCCCGAGGCCTCAAGACTCTAACCCCTGCATCCCTAAAGCCACAGATTATCTGAAAATATCAGAGGAATGTCGACCAAAGCCAAGAATATACACAGATCGTAATATATTCCAACGAATCTCCAAAGAAACAAACCAGATGAAGGACGATTTATGATGGGAAACAGAATCTGCTCTGGATGTTTTGGATTAAATCGTTCAGGATTTAAAAGTTGTGAAAGATTTGGTATCTCCTGTTAAAACTCTTTAGAGAACAGATTAAAAAAACAAATCTGTATAACAAAAAGGGTTTTCTTGCTATTGTTTATAGTGGAAATGTAAAACCCACACGATAGAAAGTCTTATTTCTAAAGAAAATAAAACAACAATAATCCCAAGTTTTATGCATTATTTCAGCCAAAACTGTTTTTTGGAAAATTAGTCTCATAACTGCACGACTATAAACAAACGCTGTTGTTTTTTTATTATTATTATTATAAAGCTGTGTGTTTCTACTAATGGTTTTTTTTATTAGCATCTATCTGCACCTCTGATCCTTACCTGTAATGTTTTTAATGATTGCTTAAAGCAGCCTTGTGTTGCTCCTCATTATTACTGAATTTAGTTTTTCTCACATGAATGAACAGCAGACGTGTTCTGAAGGATCTGCTTACATTTTGGTGCAGGACCTTTCCTGTGATGAGCACCTTTTTGGTAAAGAGCACATAAACCAGGACATGGTGCAAAGATTGTAGAGTAGAAATGATAATATTTTTCAAACATGTAATTTTATTGATTTCACGACTGCATTGCATTTTTTACAGATATTAATATGCACAGTGGGAGTATTTTGCAATGCATTATGGTCTTGATAATATTGAGCCTACTTCCAGGCCACTGAAATACACCAGAGTTATTCAACTTGTASGACACATCCYGTCTGCAGGTAACTTCAGTCTGGCCCRGCAAYGAGCTCATTAAAAGAAAAAAAWGATTTACTTCACTAAATATAAAAAATATTTTGAATTAATTTAAAATAAAATATTTAATGCAGTAAAAAAGGTAAAAGACCTTATCTTCCCTACCATTAACAGGCTTCCCCTCCAGAAGTCCGGCCCCTGAGCTGTTGGTTTTGAATTACTGTGGCCCCTTGAGCGCTTTAAGGGCTCGACACACGGGCAGCGACAAACTACAGCGATTAGCGGCTGTCATCGCAGCCAGGGTGAAACCCGACACACGGGACGCGATAGCGATCACAGCGTTGCGAATCGCGCTCTCAGATCGCTTGTCTTCACAAAATTTGATTGGTTCTTAACTCTGAAGGCRGGTGTGCWTTACGGACGTGTAAATTAAACAAATCTTGCGATGCTAATGATATTGAAAAACAAACACACATCAAAATACAGTTTTATGAGGAAAAACTTACCATAAACTTCACCCTGGTGCCAATAAATTCCCACAAAGCTTTTTAGTAATCATTTGGTGAAAGTGTTAGCTAACTGCAGTGTGTAGCATACTCTCCTCTCATTGGTCAGTCAATGAAACCCTCACTGGTTGGTTGTACGCTAAGCGACAGCGACAGAAGTTGAACATTTTTCAACTTTCGTATGTCGCGTCGCAAGCTCGCGTGTGCACGTCTACGTGTACGAGCGTGAAATTTCACATGCACTATTTTCGCCGGTCGCTTAGCTGGAGGAGGGCAAGCGATTGTCGCCTCACCGCACAGGCTCCATAGGAAATGAATGGAGAAGAGCGAGCGACGTCGCCTCCCGTGTGTCGAGCCCTTTAGTTGAATAACTCTGGTCTAAACAGTGTTTATTTCTACCTAAACTGTGCAGTCATGCTGACATCTGGCTACATTGTACATAAAAAAACATTTCGCTATCACAGAGTAAAATACCATTCAGCTGCTGATAATCCTCCAGAGATTTTACTGAAAGCTGGGTGGAAAGAAAACTCTCCATTAAAGTTTGGAACAAATGCTGAAGACTCAGTGTACCTGTCAAAACCACCCCAATCCAGTATCTCACTTGACTGATTGTTGGCAACAAATCAAAAAAATATATTCACAAGAAAATTTCCAAAATGTCTCAAAACAAGGCCGAATTTGTCAGCCGCTTACGTCTCAGCACTGTGCCGAAGGCGGTTCAAACTCAAAGACTCCTCCAACTGCTGCCCACAAATACGTCCAATTATTTTTCCCCAAYTTGARGGACGGGTCCGGTGGATCCKTCGCAGCTCAACCTATCCCAGTGATTCYCAATTCCGGTCCTCATGACYCAYTATCCTGCATGTTTTAGTTGTTTCCCTGCTTTTGCAYACTTGATTTAAATGAATGAGTGATTAGCAGGCTTCTGCAGAACTTCAAGACCTGCTGAAGAGCAGGGAAACAACTAAAACATGCAGGGTAGTGGGTCACGAGGACCAGAATTGAGAACCACTGTCCTATCCCAAGATGCCTTGCGATTTGACTGGAGATTAGTTGTTCAAGTACTGCCTCTAAGCTAATTTTGTTAATTGATAATATAAATATATTAATATTTTTGCTGCTTTCTATCAATTTTTTGCTTCTGTTTAGCATTGTCATGGTAGGCGACAGGACATACAGACAGGGTAAGTGTGGTTATAAAGCTGAAGGCTAGACTCTCCAAACTGACAGCCACTTTCTTCTGGTCTTCATGGTCAACAAAGGACCCAGCCCACCTATACCGGGTAGGCTGGGTCCTTCGAAGGACAGCCTCTGAATTTGGACGCAGCCTGGGAGTCAACTCAATTCAAGACGGCCGTCACAGCCCACTAAGTTTAGGAAACACAAAAATGGCCAAAACTCAGTCCATTTTACAGATAGTGAACTGAATATTGTTGTGGAAGTGGTTGAGATTTATTCAAAACATACTCTGAACATCTTGTGAGATCTCTCACCAAGGTTGTCCCAAAGCTGCTAAACCTTCTCGTCGTAAGACAATCTTAAAACTCTGRCATGTAAGAAAGCGGGTGATATGCWTTCTTTAAGGAATGCAAGGACTTTTTCCCCCAGGAGGTTTTCTTTATTTGCTTGCATGTCATTGCAATTTGTAGATGAAAGTTTCAACAGTTTTTGTAACTTTGAAGCTGCTGATTGAACTTCATTCAAAGAGAAAAATGCGGATAAGGGAACTGATAGAAAGACGTCTGGTAAGAAAGAAAATTTTCTTTTTTAGGAAGACAGATGATGGAGAAGAATAAGAGGGACAGCAATCTGCCATAAGGAGAAGAGAAATCAATGTGAACAAAAAGATTTAAAAAACAAAAAGGGGAAAACAAAAGATGGGAAAATGTTGCACATTAAAAAGCAAACACTAGAGAGGAGATCGGTACTCAGAACACAAAGTGTTGGAAAGAGGAAAAAGTGATAGTAAATCACTCCTGTGTACCCTCATGCTGTTTGACCGAGCCAGTCAAATTACCAAGCCATTAGCTTAATGACTCCTCCTAACACTCCACCCCCACTGAGAACCGTCTGAGTGCTGCTTCAAATGTCTGTCTTAAAGGAAAATGGGCTTCAAAAGTCTGACAAAACACACTTTTTAGRAGTCGCTTTAAGATAACAGATGATGATTGCTGACCTCGGGGCAGAAATTAAAGAGCAAAGAACCGGCAAAMCACAGTAAAGATTGTCAAATCAGATTAGATTCACACGAGAAAACGTCTTCACTCTGACTTCCTGCAGATCAAACATCGTATTTGTGTTGTACGTCTTGTTTTATTGTGTAAGAGAATAATAAACGCCACGATGAAGGAAATTCAATCGGTTGACTGACACACAAGAGATAAAGTTTCCTATCATTCCGTTGTTGCACGGCTCATTTCAATTTGACTGTAGATTTTATAATCTTCCACAAATTTTCATTTCGCTCTCAAGTTTTAGGAGAAATTGTGTTTTTCTTTGAAAATTCAGCGTGAATGCTGAGAGCTTAAACTGCTGCTGGAGCTTGTTAAAAAGGCAAAAGTTTACTTGTTAAAAAAAAGACAGTCATAAAAGCCACAACCAGACACACACAGGCTAAAAACTGAAATTTGCAAAAACAGGAGCTAAATGCTACAACCTCAAAACAGTAGCTAAAAGCTAAGATCGGCAACAGACAGAAGAATAGCTAAAATTAGCAAAAAATAGCTAAAAGCTAAACCCAACAAAAAAGTAGTCTATAGTGAAAACCAACATAACTTAAGCTAAAAGCTAAGATTAGTAACACATAGGCTAATAGCTAAGTCAGCAAAATGAAAAAAACAACTAAATAGTAAGATAAAGATCAAAGAAAGAACAGCTAAAATTTAAGCAAGTATGCTGAATTATTTTAAGCAATTTTAAGGACATGAGGAGTTTTTCTTTATTTTTATGAGAAAAAAATTAATAAAGTTAAGTATTTCAGTAAGTATAAAGTTGCAAAAACCAGAACTACTAGCCGAAATGTCCTGAATGCGCTGAACATTTTTGATACATGAATAATTAAAACAGCTGAAATTTTGCTGATGTCTSAAAATCAGACAAGAGTAACGGAGGAAACTAGAAACAGGAAAAATAGTGTAAATGCTGAYTCAACGTTTTATAAGAAACATTTTACTGTGTATTCATAATTTTAAATGGAAACACCCACTTTTTCCTGCAGGTTGAACGTCACACTGATAAAATATTTTAAAGACTAACAAAGACTCGTGGAAATCTTGACTGAAACCTCAAGTAATTTTGGTTTTCATGCAACTTCTGCCTCCGCTTCTCATTTGCCTGTTTGCTCTTCGTGCTGCGGTGAGCTTCCACCTACCTGTTCTCAGGATCGGGTTTGGTCATGGCTCGTGTTGCGTAACACATCTTCAGCGGTATGCACCGCCGGTCGCTGCTCAGGGACAGGGAGGGCAGGGTGGGGGAGCTCGGAGACTCAGAGGAGAAGGAGGAAGTGATGGCGGGGCTGCTGGGACGGGGAGACTCGGGAGGCGGGGTCTCCCAGCCGATCTCYGACACAGGGGAGCCCTTTTTGACGTAGGGTGTTGCCTCACGCATGTATTTGACTGGGGAGGAAAACAACAAAGATTTTAAGTCTAAAATATCAAACAGTTAAAAAAAAAGGTTGAAAATCAACAAAAGATAACATTTTTTGAAAGCTAGTACATCTACCAAAAAGAAAAAATAAGTAGGTCCTCTGGATGGGTTCTTCTTTAGTGAAATATTTCGTCTCTCCAAGAGACTTCTTCAGTCTGATGAGTTTCAGGTGAACTCAGCCTTATAAGCACTGCCTCCACATGGACAAACAGGTTAGTCAYATGCAAAAGAGGGCCATCGCCTAACAATAGGCTTGATTAGCTCTGTTGTTCATAGAGGGTGTGCCCCATCACCTGACTTACTGGTTTGGATGCTGTGGTTCTTAGGTGTCGTGTCATGTGTATGTAGTGAGTGCAGGCGGGGCTCAAAGTCCCCTTGTTTTTGTTTTTTCCCTCTTTGTGTTGGTTATCGTTGGGGCCCTGATTCACACCTTTTGCTCACGGGGCTGAGTACAGTAAGTCAGGTGATGGGRCACATGACCCTCTATGAACAATAGAGCTAATCAAGCCTATTGTTAAGCGATGGCCCTCTTTTGCATATGACTAACCCGTTTGTCCACCATGTGGAGGCAGTGCTTATAAGGCTGAGTTCACCTGAAACTCCTCAGACTGAAGAAGTCTCTTGGAGGAGAGACGAAACATTTCACAAAAGAAGAACCCATCCAGGGGACCTACTTATTTTTTCTTTTTGATTTTTTCTGCCTGGATTACTGAGATGCATCAGGACACTAATACCTCTACGATCATTGGGTAAAAGTTTAAGGCACAGAGTGTTCAGACCTTAGTAGATCATTTACTGTACAAAAAAAGCAATCCAATAATATGATACGATGCAACATAATTTACTTTATTGTCCCTTTTGGAAATTTTGTTTTGACTCAATAACATCCAAATAAAACATGATAAAACCTCCAGTACTAAATTAAAGGCCTTTCAGTCATTGAAGAACATTACATGCTGTCTGTCATGCCAGAGTTTCAAACTAAAAATCATGTGTTGAAAACAGAGTTTGAGCCTTTTTCAGTCAATTTTTAAAAAAATAACCATATGTGATTACACACATTCTGTTAACAGTCTGAGTATTTGTTGGGGATGACCCTCAGATACTACCACACCAAGTTTTAGCTCAATCAGTAAAACTGAATGAATTACAACCATTAATACCATTATTAGCTGTGGCAGCCATCTTGAACTAGGCTGACTAAAAAGCTAATGAGTTAAAAAAAATAAACAATTATTTTCCAGGAGTTTTGTAAAAATCAAACAGTTTCTGACATATTTCGCTAACAGACACACTTCCAGTTGACGCTATACTGATGCATCTTGAGAGGTAAAATGTAGTTTTCAACATAGATGATTTTGAAACTTATTCTGCATTCCAAACAATAAAACACTATCTTGTTTCTACAGTTTTAAAGTTTGAGCTCTACTTAAAAAAATTTACAGCACTAACATTACCAAAGTACATTTAAATCCTGTTAGAAAAGACAAAAGTCTTTAGATAGCAGTGGTTTTGCTTTAACTTTAATAAACACACAGAGTTTAAAGTAGTTTGTCATGTCACAGAGGAAGGATGTGGGGACGCCGCAAATGTTTGAGTCCCCCCCCCCCCCCCCCAAAAAAAAAAAAAAAAAAAAACTGATGCTGCTAAATCACTTCACAGCTGAAGCTTTTGAGAAGTCTGTTGTGGGGYARTAACAAAAATGAGTTCCTTAGTAGYAGTGTGTTACCTTAACGTTGCCTAAAAATCAGTGCAAAATCACAGGAGTGTGTGCGTTTCTAAAAACACGGCGTTGTGAGACCATATCTGTTGAATATCAGTAGTCGTATTTATTGGAGCTGCTTCAAGTGGACGGTCTTTTCTCTGTGTTATCCCAATTTGACTCCGTATTTCCTGCCTGCCTTTTTCCACTTCCATCGATAATAAATCCTAAAAATATGAACAACTTTGTGAGTTATAATTAAAAAGTATGCAAATAAAGGAGCTTGTGTTCATCGCAGAGGCAGCAGGGGGCTGGGTTAAAAAAAAAAACCTGTTTGTCTTCCCATTACAATGAGCTGGCACAGTGGGCTCAGTCTGCAGCCAGTTAGAAATGAAAGCAGCACACGTAAACACGCCAAAAAGCCCAAACACACCCTGGTGTCTTTTTATCTTTCAGCTAATTTGTTACAATTTATTTATTTATTATGCCTTTATTTAACCAGGAAGTCCCACTGAGATCAAAATCTCTTTGACACGCACGACCTGGCTGAACGCAAGTTTGCAYCATGCACCTTTGTACAACATATATAAAAATAAATATAAAGCAAAATGAAAGAAGCCACGATGCATTGATGATTTAGTCTCTGCAGCAACTCTCAGACGGATTTGTGGACATTTTCTAGACATCACAACACAAAAAGCTTCTCTCGCATCTTCTGATTGGACATTAAACAGCTGATGCTTCAAACCTGGGAACCTCTCCAAGCAGGAAAAAAAGAAACCCTTCACAGAAAAATTCAAACTGTGAATCACTGGAGGCTTGATAATTATTTTAAATTCTTCRTCTGTGAATGTTGGGAGGGAAGTAAACAAGAGAACACAGGGCATTCTGAATGCTTGGTATGGTCGAGGCGCCTAATTGGAAGATCCCAGATAATTGGCGCACGACTGGAACGCAGCGACTATTCTGGGTGAAAGTCACGACAGAGACCTGTGAGATGGAGGAACAAGCCTGACCGCCAGGGACGACAGGCTGAGCCACTGAAGGAGCCGATCTGACAGAGATCTCAGTGGACCTGCAGAAGTGACACCATCCACTTCCACACATGATTAATTAAAGGATTAAAACAAGAGGAAAGACTTGTAGTGTATCAATACAATAGAAGTCAATGGAGTTGTTTTATCAAATCWATGTTTGGTTTTGCTCATCAAGAGCCATCAGCTAAAGGAACGTGAAAAAAGTCCATTTCATAACTACAGACAGACTCCTGCTGGCAAAAAAATAAATAAATAAAACATCTCATGTCTTCACTTCTGTGTTGCAAATATGATGAAGCAAGAGGAAAACGTGACATCTGGCTTCAAACAGTCATGTTTTGAAAAATATGTAGATTGAGATTATGCATTTTAGATTTGATGAAATTACTTAAAGCAGACATGTTTTAAGTTCTTCTTTTTCACATTTAAATCATTCACTTGGGCTCTAATTAGAATTAYAATGCTTTGGTCTGCTGCCACTCCAAATTATGAAAGGTGGGTTTCAATTCAGCCGGTTAGAATGAAGAAGTTAGTTTGACTAAGGATTTGTAAGCATAGTTTTTCAACACAGAGTAACTAAAGTTAAAAACATGCAAGTAGAACAGGTGTCTGTTTATGGTCATATTAATAGTTATCGGCTAAATGCCACAATTATTTGTGATGTTTTGGGTTTTTTTGCCAATATTGCCCAACACTAATCCAAACTACAAAAAATAGTTTTGCTTTCCTTATGATTACAACACACCTCCTCCAAAATGAAAGTGAACAACTAAGGAGTTCATCTGTTCATGTTCTACACATGATGAAACCACAGGAACTGTGGTTGATCAGTATGGGCTGCTGTGCTTTCCTTTTGCGTCAGAAGCTTGAAAGATTAAAGACGACATAAAGCTCGCTGAAAGCAAACTCCAGTGTCTTTTTCCTCTGTCAGCCACCTTAAAAACCATGATCATTTTACACCTTTAAACAAAACACATTTAAAATTAAAACCCTAGCAGCTCTTGAAGGAATGCATATTGCCCACCATCTTTCATGATTTCATATCAAGATTATTTTTGTCGGGAGTTGACAGMGTTGTAGAAATTTTGATAAGACCTTGAAAATATCATCATGTGTACAATCTTCTATGAAACAGCAAAATGTCTCTCAGAGTATGTGTTGTAAAACATTCTTAGCTACAACTGCACCACATTTTATCTCATTAGTTGTAAATTAGACTGAGTCTGAAATTAATGGAAGTCATTGCAATGTCCTCATAAAAATAGCTGTACTAGACGGTGCGTACTGGAAAAATGGTCCAACCTGCAGACATGTCAACACCTTCGGACGTTTCCCTGCATCTTGACCCTCAAAAATCTCAAAACTAAACTACACAAAAAAGAACATAGTACTCACATGTGATCTAACAGGGGTGTTGGGTGACAAATGGGCTGTCGGCTGTGGGATAAGCAGCTGCAGCACAGAGGTGCAGAGAAAGGAGGACAGGGAGAAGTGGCAAACTTATTTCTAGTGGCAGAGAGGGTTGTAAGATTGTTAATTAATTTTATTTACTCTTTTGCTTACTTTCTACAAGTTCTGAGATGTAAAATTAATTTGAAGCTGAGTTTTTGAAAAAAAAATCTGAGATTAAAAAAAAAACTTCTTGAGATTGCCCTATACAATCACAGCCCTACAAAATGGGATAAAATCTGTGTAATCTACAGTCAATCTGTACAACGTGACAGGTATGGAAATGGTCCCCACAAGGTAATAAAAACATGTTCACACACACACACACACACACACACACACACACACACACACAC